CACCACGCGATGACGCAATCTCTCAAATATCACCAGACCAATCTTCATTCATATTCGCAAAAATTATTTTCATATAAAATAACTTAACCGCACGTTCGCAATGTTTTATGCAGCAAAGTGTCCAACGATTGGGCGCAGTATTTCTACCATTCTACCGTTCATACATTCCAAATGTGATATCTGCAATTAACCCGTAACGAAAAGAAGGCAAGTAAAATTTATACGAACAGCAATTTTCGATACAGCTTTCAGGAGTGATTCATCGTAACGGTGCATATTTTGTGCATATCTGTTTATGTGCATATTTGTTTAAGTGCATAACTGTTTATGTGCGTATCTGTTTATGTGCATATCTAAACCAAATCGCATTAACACATCAACATGAGTTTTGTAAGGTACTTCCACAATTACAAACAATAATCAGTCGACCAAAGCTAAACCAGTTTAACAAATGTTAATTTATTAATGATACCAATAAATACTTAAATTATGAGTCGAAATGTCACAAAAAGTTTCACAAAGTAAACATAACATACTGCGACTTATTTGCAGCCACAAAGCAATATAATTACATCGGTTCGAGTAACAAAAGCGATCGACCCCATAGTGATAAATGTAAAACGGAAACTTCACAGAAATGCCTGGTTTGAATAAAAGCTTTAGAACTATTATCAAATCATTGCATTGCGCTTTGCTCACCTTCTGCAAAAGTAAACAAAATAAGCCTTGGTACTCTAATGAAAACACTCCATTGTGTTTTGTTTTTCCAAATAATGAATTTCGCACATCTAAGACTAAAGACTATTAGACAATGTAACAAAACATCAAAACAGCGCTTAATTTACTGAGGCTGATAGAGATAAAAGTGATATGGTAACTTCAAAGGAATGCTTAATTTGAACAAACCTTTGGTACTATAATCAAAGCACTTGTGTGTGTGTTTTTTCAGTTAAATATCGTAACATAAGATTAAAACAGCAAGAGTTAAAGATATCTTGGTTATTTTCCTGCTTATGCTTGAAGTAAAGAGGGCCAATCTCTTTCGGTTCTCCCAATATGAGAGAGCTTTGCCCTCTTTACTTCTTACATCGCAGTCGTTGTACCGACTTTCCATTGTTTTACTGACAAAATGGCGGTGTTTTTGCCGGTCGTTCCATGCAACCAACCATGTCTTCGTTTCAGCGTTTAAAGGTTGTATTTCCGCTTCGTCCAGGATGGTACCAGTTAGATACGGATCAGAATCATTTTGGACGCTTGCAAACGTAGGGAAGTTTGCGAAAGCATTTGTTGTCTTCCCACTTTCCCCTTTGCCCACGATGCTTTGGTCTGCCGTCATTCTGAAAACGTTACATATACACAAACAAGAAGTCATGGGGAAACGGTTATGTTTCATATCACCCTTATGCTGTACACATTCCTGGCGACCACTACCTACAACTCACGGCTTAGTGGATCACAACCCTGTCAATCAACTGAAATCTGATCTCCGCCCACTCACTGTTTTCCTATATTATAATATAGAAGTTAAGCATGATGATAGGAGTCCAAGGCAATGCGACAATATGACTTACCTTGTGAGCAGAGTACAGAGCCCCGCATTTGCCATACATGCGGTTGTCCGGCCGGCCCCGAGACCAGTTTGTGAAGACGACAGGTGAACCATCTGTCCACCTCCACCCTTTCTCATTGCGACGGTTCAGCCCAAACCAGACGAGACGTCGGAAAGTCACTTGAGATGCTGCAAGAAAGGAAAACATGTTGCATTTTGTATGTGAACACAGCATCCGTTCATTGTGTTTTGATGTTACAACCCCCTAAATACTCCACACGTGGCTTCTCTGAATTGTGACGTCAACACTGTCAACACCGGTACCCGGTAAACGATGTCGGCCCCCGTCGCGGTTGAGTGATGGGCCCTGATGTAAATAGCCTCTTTCACCCCTCTCAGGAATTCTTTCTCTGCGTCCAGTGTTGACGTCACACTTCAGAGAAGCCACGTGACATGTCTCACTGGGTCAGTCTCCTAAGGAAGACCTCAGTCGAAGGTCGATCCTGTGTGTTGGAACAAAACGTTATACTTTACCAACACAGATGAACTTTCATGATGATATATATCTATAACTTAATCACCCACCAGTGGAGATAAGGCCTGTTAAGAAGCGATTCTCCCAAGAATCCAGGACAGAAGCCAGATTTGCACCGAGTTGTTTACATCGTCGGTGTGCCGTTACCCACTTGACTTGGCGCCACATTAACTTGTAGCAGTGGTGGTTGTACTCAATCCACTCACCCCAGCATCGCCCTGATGCTGTGCCGTAAGCTAAAACCAAAGGGTTTTAGATTTCATTTTGGTGTCAGTAGAACTTGACTCCAACCTAAAGCTACAGTCACATACGTGGTGCAATTTGCAATTGTCCAACAGATTTTGGACATACAAAGAATGGGCCCCATGCAGCGGCATGCTGACAGCGGTCTCTAGTACAATAAAGCCAAAAATGCAGCTGCATCATCAATGTGACGTACTTAACTGGCTGACAATGTTGTCCTGAATCAGAATGCATGCACGACAAAGTGTAAGGCAAATCAAAAGAAAAAGAAATTAAATATTTCTCCGAAGTTGAGGTGGGGGAGTAAGAGAAGCAGAGAAATAACAGTGGAAAAGAGAGAAAGAGGAGGCATGGCAATGAATTACAATATGATCTATAAGCACTATATATTGATTATTAGTCCATGTCCATATCCACATTGCTTACCTGTGTACGACCGAGGTTTGTCGGTGTTTGTAAACGGCGACGAAGGTAGAGTGTAGTTGTCGATGGGCGAACTGGTTTCCTTGTAGAATGCTGGAATTGTAGATGTAGCATTCGGAGTGTGTGACTTCATGCCCATCCCAATCGTCACGTCTTCTTGGCTCTTTAACTCTGGTGCTTCCTAGAAGACAAAAAGAAACACAACACTATACTAGTAACGCTCACAACGCTAATATAGCCTTACTACTACTAACGTTGGAAACTTTAAACTCGGATTATACCATTAATCTACCGTTACCTTAGGCTAATATCAACTAGAAAAGGAACATTCGCAAATCAATTGCATAATGTTTACCTTCACTTGGTATAGCCCAACAAAAAAAGTACTGCGCTGTTTATTATTATCTTGCTTAAAGCCAAATACATTCAAATGTTTGGAACAAAAGAAGAGGAAGAAACCTAGCAAAAACAATGTGTTTTCCTTCTGCGAAGGTAAACATAATGAATATTCTTGGCTTACCTCCTTTCCTGGTACCAAATGAGTGGCCAAGATTGCAGCGATGACAACAGATACTGCCACCACAAGGCCGCAACCCAGGACAAGCCAGCAACATTTGGCAGATTTCACAGTGGTCCACATTTCCATAAGGCGATCTTTGATGATAAAATATAGAACGTTTATGGTAAGATGGCAGAAATATGTAAGCAACAACCACGAATTCAAAATCCATGTGCAGTGCCTTTAGCATTACGTAATATACTATATGAATGTTATTTTCGTTGACATGATTTGCCGAGAAGAAACAAGACAAGATGACAAAATAAAATATGACAAATAATAGAAAACAAGATAATAATGTCCAGGCAGAGAGACGACAATGCCAAACAACCAAACAAATAATCATAAATCATACCTAAACATCATTGTAAGCTAAGTATTTAGCTTGCAAACAGCTTTGCGTTTGAAATGTCATAGTATGAAGCAGTTTAAACCTTGTATTTACCTTTAGTCTTGTATCTGGCATCTTCAGGATCTTTCTCTCCGTGTTCATCCTCAGGTTGGTCGTCATGCGAGGAGGACTCTTCCTGATGCCCCGAGCTCACTTCCTCCGGTTCTTTATCTTCACTCACATCCTCTGGTATGTGGTAGGTATAAGACGAGCACCCTCCCCCGTGCCCAATGCTGACTTCTACAGGATTCTTGTAAACATTCACATCTTCTGGTTTGTTGTTGACAAGTGATGAAGACCCCACCTCAGTTCCTGTGTTGTCGTAGTTGCGGTGCCCCATGCGTACTTCTTCAGGCTTGTCGTGTCCGTACACATCCTCTGGTTTGTGGTAGCCATAGGAGGAAGATTTTTTCTTGTGGCCAATGTCTACTTCTGCCCTGTAGTAGGCCTTTGCCCTGTAGTAGGCATATGACGAAGACTCTTCTCCGGGCCCAGTGCTTATTTTCACAGCAGCTTCATAATCGTAAGGATCTTCTGATTCGTAACTATCTGGACACTCAGGAGCGTCAGATTGTGGATAGGCGCCGTTACCAGAGGCTGCACCATTCTCTTCTTTGAGCCCTGGTGACAGATTTGTCTCGGTTGCCGCCATTTCTGTGAATTAAACGTAAAAATGTATTTGTTAATGTGACACACCGTAGGTAAACGCCATGCATTCAATTCTACAACCCATATTAGTAAGAACCAATTGAATACAAAGCCAATATATTAACTGTCATATTTGTAAAGCTGTTCATATTATAAGCTCTTCACAAATTCTACATTTTAAAAAAAGTATAAATTAAACTTACATGTAAAATCCAACCTGTGATGGAATATTGTAAAATAACGCAATGATTTGCATTATTTGCACGGTCTTAAAAACGTCCATGCAAAAAAAGTCATTTGATATGGAAATAATTTCTGAGAATATGGATGAAGATTGGTCTGGTGATATTTGAGTGATTGCGTCACCGCGTGGTGCAACAACAAAACATAAAATCATCGCGTTATTTTACAATAGTCCATCACAGGTTGGATTTTACATGTAGATTTTTAAATCTAATTAAAAGTTAGACGACCTACAAAATGTAGAATTTGTAAAGAGCTTATAATATGAGTAGCTTTACAAATGTGTCAGTTAATATGTTAGTTACGTATTTAATTGGTTCTTACCAATATGGGTGGTAGAATTGAAAGCATGGCGTTTATCTACGGTGTTTCACTTTAACAAAAACATTTTTACGTTTAATTCACAGAAATGGCTGCAACCGAGATAAATCTGTCACCAGTACGGAAAGAAGAGGAGATTGCAGCCTCTGGTAACGGCGCCTATCCACAATTTGACGCTCCTGGGTGTCCGTATATTTACGCGGGGAACGAATCAGAAGATTCTTACGATTATGAAGCTGCTGTGAAGATAAGCATTGGGCACGGAGAAGAGTCTTCGTCATTTGCCTACTACAAAGCAAACGCTTACAAGGAGCCCGTAGAAGTAGACATTGGCCACAAGGTAAAATCTTCCCCCTATGGATACCACAGACCAGAGGATGTGTACGGACACGACAAGCCTGAAGAGGTACGCATGGGGCATCACGACCTCGATACAACACGAAATGGTCGCAGCTACAAAGAACAGGAGGAAGGGTCTTCCTCACTCGTCAACAACAAACCAGAAGATGTTAATGTTCATGTTTACAAGAATCCTGTAGAAGTCAGCATTGGGCACGGGGGATGGGCTTCTTCACATGCCTACAACATTCCAGAGGATGTGAGTGAAGAACCCGAGGAAGTGAGCACGGCGCAACAAGAAAAATCTTTCTCGCCTGACGACCAACCGGATGATGAGAACGAAGACAAAGATTCTGAGAATGGCTACAAGACTAAAGGTAGGTCAAAATACGTGTAAGATTTAAACTCTATTGCTGACTGATACTATAATATTACAAAACAAAGATTTTGAAAATATTTGACTGACAATGACCAGATTAGATATATTTGATTAATGACCATACGTCTTACAATTGGCACAAAGAAAAGACAATAAAATGGTTAAAACATTAATTTTGGGTTACGTAATATTCACGGATAGTGAGTGAGTGAGTGATATTGTAATATTGTTGCCAGGTTGATAAACTATTTTATTAACAATACGATGGAAATTATACGTAAACAGTGTATCTAAATCACTGTGAAGTCGTAGTGCAACAACCTGTTTAATAATGACAAAAAATAGTCAAATTGGGATACAGAGATGATTAGCTGATTATTGATTTTGAAATTTCTGTTGTGTACATTTTCCTTATGTGCATCTTTTTATATCTTATCATCACAGACCGTCTTATGGAGATGTGGATGAATGTAAAATCTGCCAAAGCTTGCTGGCTTGTACTGGGTTGCGTACTGCTGGTGTCTGTTGTCACCACTATAATCCTGGCGACTCATTCCGTACCAGGAACGAAGGTGAGCCAAGAAACAATCATTTTCATTAGCCTTGGGTAACGGTAGATTACTGACGTGCCCAGTGCTTATTTTCACAGCAGCTTCATAATCGTAAGGATCTTCTGATTCGTAACTATCTGGACACTCATGAGCGTCAGATTTTGGATAGGCGCCGTTACCAGAGGCTGCACCATTCTCTTCTTCTTTGCGGCCTGGTGACAGATTTGTCTCGGTTGCCGCCATTTCTGTGAATTAAACGTAAAAATGTATTTGTTAATGTGACACACCGTAGGTAAACGCCGTGCTTTCAATTCTACAACCCATATTAGTAAGAACCAATTGAATACAAAGCCAATATATTAACTGTCATATTTGTAAAGCTGTTCATATTATAAGCTCTTCACAAATTCTACATTTTAAAAAAAGTATAAATTAAACTTACATGTAAAATCCAACCTGAGATGGAATATTGTAAAATAACGCAATGATTTGCATTATTTGCACGGTCTTAAAAAAGTGCATGCAAAAAAAGTCATTTGATATGGAAATGATTTCTGAGAATATGGATGAAGATTGGTCTGGTGATATTTGAGTGATTACGCGATCGCGTGGAGCAACAACAAAACAAAATTATCGCGTTATTTTACAAATATCCCATCACAGGTTGGATTTTACATGTAGGTTTAAGTTATACCTTTTACAAAATGTAGAATTTGTGAAGAGCTTATAATATGAGTAGCTTTACAACTGTATCTTATGTTTTTATGTTATTTACGTATTCAATTGTGCCCTTACCAATACGGGTGGTAGAATTGAAAGCGTGGAGTTTAACTGCAGTGTTTGACATTAACAAATACATTTCTTACGTTTAATTCACAGAAATGGCGGTAGTCGAAGGGAATCAGTCACCAGGGCTCAAAGAAGAGGAGAGTGCAGCCTCTGGTAACGGCGCCTATCCACAATTTGACGCTCCTGGGTGTCCGTATATTTACGCGGGAAACGAATCAGAAGATTATTACGATTATGAAGCTGCTGTGAAGATAAGCATTGGGCACGGAGAAGAGTCTTCGTCATTTGCCTACTACAGGGCAAACGCTTACAAGGAGCCCGTAGAAGTAGACATTGGCCACAAGGTAAAATCTTCCCCCTATGGCTACCACAGACCAGAGGATGTGTACGGACACGACAAGCCTGAAGATGTACACATGTGGAACCACGACCTCGATACAACAAGGTACAAAGAGAAAGATGTATGGTCTTCCTCACTTGTCAACAACAAACCAGAAGATGTTCATGTTCATGTTTACAAGAATCCTGTAGAAGTCAGCATTGGGCACAGGGGAGGGTGTTCGTCTCATACCTACAACATACCAGAAGATGTGGATGAAGATAAAGAACCAGAGGAAGTGAGCACGGGGCACCATGAAGAATCTTTCTCGCCTGACGACCTACCTGAGGATGACCACGGAGACAAAGATTCTGAGGATGTCAGCTTTGCTTACAAGACTAAAGGTAGGTCAAAATAAGTATATGATTTAAACTCTATTGCTGACTGATACTATAATATTACAAAATAAAGATTTTGAAAATATTTGACTGACAATGACCAGATATATATGATTAATGACCATACGTCTTACAATTGGCACAAAGAAAAGACAATAAAATGGTTAAAACATTAATTTTGGGTTACGTAATACTCACGGATAGTGAGTGAGTGAGTGATATTGTAATATTGTTGCCAGGTTGATAAACTATTTTATTAACATTACGATGGAAATTATACGTAAACAGTGTATCTAAATCACTGTGAAGTCGTAGTGCAACTCCTGTTTATAGTTACAAAGTACAAACGGAATAGTCAAATTGGGATACAGAGCTGATTATTGATTTTTATATTTCTGTTGTGTACATCACTCTTATGCGCATCTTTTTATATCTTATCATCACATACCGTCTTATGGAGATGTGGATGAATGTAAAATCTGCCAAAGCTTGCTGGCTTGTACTGGGTTGCGTACTGCTGGTGTCTGTTGTCACCACTATAATCCTGGCGACTCATTCCGTACCAGGAACGAAGGTGAGCCAAGAAACAATCATTTTTGTTGGGTAACAGTAGATTACTGGTATAATCTGAGTTGCAAGTCCCCAGCACTAATAGTAGTAAGGCTATATCAACTTGGCGTTATTTTATTTAGATTTAGATTTATAAGTACTTTGAACTGATCATGTTATTGTAATGGTGTGTATGAGTGTCAGGACGTTGTAATTATAGAGCGTTTACTTTGTCACCAACGTCGAATCGAGTTTGTTGTGAGGTCCTTACACCAATATGCAATTCAGCCACACTGGTGACAAACTGTGGACGAGTTTCATGTTGACAATAAACCATTATTATTATTATAGAGTTGCGTTTCTTTCTGCCTTCTAGGAAGCACCAGAGTTAAAGAGCCAAGATGACGTGGCGATCGGGATGACGTCACACACTCCGGACCCGTGGTTGACAGCATTCTACCAGGAAACCAGTTCGGCCGCCAACAATTCCACTCTGTCTTCTTCTCCGTTTACAAACACCGACAAACCTCTGTCGTACACAGGTAAGCAATCCTAATGTGTATATGGTACAATAAGCAGGTATAACAATCGGTACATAGTGCTTATAGATCATATTGCAATCCATTGCCATGCCTTATTCCTTCTTTCTTTCGCTGTTATTTTCTCTGCGCCTTTTTCCTACTCGCTACAACTTCAGAAAACGTATTTCATTTCTTTTTAATTAACACTTCGTCGTGCACGAGGTCTGAATCAGAACAACATTATCGGCAAGTTAAGTACTAGTAAAATTTAAAAAAAAACATCACATTGCTGATGCAGCTGCAACTATTTAGTTAATTGAAACGAAGCCTTTCTTTTTATTGCCAAAATCGGTTCGACTACGTGTATGACTGTGGTTTTAACTTGTGGTCAACTTCTCCAAACAACAACATCCAATCTAAACGCCATTTAGTTTTAGCTTACGGCACAGCAGCACGGCGATGCCAGAGTGACTGGACTGAGTACAACCACCACTGCTACAAGTTATTTCGCAGCAAAGTCATCTGGATAAAGGCAAGCCGACGATGTAAACAACTCGGTGCAAACCTGGCTTCTGTCCGGGACGCTGACGAGAATCGCTTCTTAACAAGTCTTATCTCCACTGGTGGGTGATATTTACTATCATGCAAGTTTATCTTGTTTGGTAGTTACATGTTTAAAGTTAAAACATAAGAATAGTTCTCATCTAGAGCTTTCGACCAGTCACTCTGGTCTTCCTCAATAGACTGACCCAGTGAGACTTGTCACGTGGCTTCTCACTGGACGCAGCATAAGACTTACTGAGGGGGGTGAAACAGGCTATCTACATCAGGGCCCATCGCCCTTCACTCAACCGCGACGGGGGCCGATATCGTTTTCCGTATACCTTTGTCCAGTGTTGATGTCACACTTCAGAGCGTTAAAACACACGTGTTGTGGAGTAGGTATATTGGTTGGAAAATCGGCTGCTGTATTGACTAACAAATTGCATCATGTTTCCTTTGTTGCAGCACCTACGGGGGATATACGATTTCTCGTCTGGTTTGGGCTGAACCGTCGAAAGGGGAAAGGGTGGAGGTGGACAGATGGTTCGCCTGTTGTCTTCAGGAACTGGGCCCGGGGCCGGCCGGACAACTTCATAGATGGGATATGTGTTGGTCTGTCCTCCAGGGTGAGTTATTTTATATTTTCATTACATTTCAATCATATCATCATATTTAACTCCTATATTATAACAGTAAGTGGGCGGAGATTTGTTGAGATTAGGATTTCAGTTGATTGGCAGGGTTGCGACCCGGAATGTGCACTGCATAAGCATTGATGAAACTTAAACCATTCTCCCATGATTACATGTATATACACCACAATTGTGGATGAAGCATAAACCATTCCCCATGAGTACACACGCAACAATTGTGACACATTCACAAAAACAAACACAAACCTAAAACACTACTTCTTGTTTGTGTATGTAATGTTTACAACAGAGGACCTGGAACTACCACTTAGCGAAAAGGGAGACAAGGGGGAAGTGGGAAGACATCCAATGCTTCTGCAGGTTTCCCTACGTTTGCAAGAGTCTACCATCATACTAATCGGTTAGGACACACTAATTTAATTTCTTGGTTAACGGATTCGCCAGCTTCATTTTTTTTTCTGATTTGCAAATAAAAATAACAATTCAAATCAACTGCAAAATACTCATATTTTGCCCTGAACAGTTAAAAACAGTCCTTTTCATCCTTGTTGTCACATTTATTCCGTCTTTCAATGCAATGGAATCATTAAAAGTTCAAAATTCATTGTTAAAATTTTGAACCAGCCTGGTGTATAGATTTCATTGCTCCTATCGTTCCATTTTGGGCCATAATAGGATGCCTAGGCCTGTTTTTTTTCGCCCACCCACTCCATTATTTTTCTAGAAAAATCCGTTAACCAAGAAATTAAATTGGTGTGAATCAGTTGGTAACACTTGGTATCATTGTGAACGAGGTGAGAAACCCTGCCGTCGATAGAAGGAACGCGGAGACATGGTTGGATGGAACTACGATCAAAGGCACCTTCATTTTGTCAATAAAGAAATGAAAAGTAAATACCTCCAAATGGAAAGCCGACTTGGACTGTTTAATCGACACGAGTTATGGATAACGATTCTGATTTGTTTATATCGGTCTTTGTTTGTATCGGTATCTTTGATTTTATTGTATTTTGTACTGGGCCCTATTGAAAATCAATTTGTCAAAATTGAACTAGGCAACCCAGGTGTGCGAAGATTAAGTAAAATAAAATAAAATAAAAATACTGGGGATCCAGCGAAGCAATAATGTCATATGTAAAGAGAACAATGCATAAGCAGGCAAATAAGCAAAATATCTCGAACTCTTGCTGTTTTATATTATGTTATAATATTTTATAGTATTTATTTTCCACGTAAAGTGCGAGACTCATTAAATACACAATGGGGTGCTTTGATTATAGTACCAAAGGTTGAATTTAAATTGAGTATTCTTTGAAGTAACCATATTACTTTTATCTCGAGTGTGAATTGAATTTTGTTACAGTATCTTATAGTATGTATTTTGTCACGTAAGGTGTAAGACTTATTACTGAAAAAAACACTATGAAGTACTTTGATTATATAGTACCAAAGATTTATTCAATTGAATTGAGAGATTTCAGAGATTTCTGTGAAATTACCATATTACTTTAATCTCTATCATGCGAGTGTAAATTGAATTTTGTTACAGTAGTTTATAGTATGTATTTTCCTACGTAAGGTGCGAGACTCATTAGTTGAAAAAAAACACAATACATTGTTTTACCAATGACATATTTGTAAACCTCCTCATATTATAAGCTCTTCACATATTCTACATTTTATAAAGCATTATATAACTTAAACCTACATGTAAAATCCAGCCTAATGCTGAGGTCACAATTCCCACACGGGGCCCGACCGGGCAGCTTTTGGGAACGAAAAGTACGATATAAAAGACAACAAAACACAGAAAAGTTCTTAATAACAATCATGGGCGCTATTTCTGTATATTCTTGATATCAATTCTTAATTTTTCGTTTATACAAACAGCCCGGTCGGGCCCCGGTTTCGAAATGTGACCTAAGCATAAGAGGGGGCATTGTAAAATAGCAGAATAGAATGATTTTTGTTTTTTGTTTTGTTGTTTCACCACACGCTGATGCAATCACCAGACCAATTTTTATATGTTTTCTTTGAAATGATTTCCATATGCATGTAAAATGACTCAATCTCGCGTGGAGTAGCCATGTCACAGGTGAGGCTTTATAGAACCCTGGGTAGTTACAGTGAGAGCAATTTCTGAAAATTGCTTGTTCATAAACAGATATGTACAATACAGTCACAATAGTAAAATTAACCAGTAAGTGCATGAGCTTAAACTTAAACTTTATTCATCAAAAACAACATTGCAGGCTGAAACAGCCTGAATTGTGTTGTAAATTACATGTACATCCACATTAACAATTGTAATTTATTAGCGTTAAAAGATTAAGTGTTAAAAGAAGTATATCTAATAATAACGTAAGTATAAAATATCGATAACACATTGAAATATAGACAATAATTGAGTGAAACAACTTTAAGATACATTACAAGGAGGCAATAAGATTTTTTGAAGTCTATAGTGTCCTTCAGATTTTTTTAAAAAGTCTATAGTGTCCTTCACTGCTGCATAATGTTGAATGATCTGGGGATAAAAGATTGTCTAATGTGTGTTTCTCAGTACGGCTCAGTGGGATCTTGTAGCTGGAAGTTTGACGGCTTAGTTGGTCCTGCAACGCCACCTTTCTGATTTGGCAGTGAATTACATCCTGTAATAATCTACAGTACGGCGTTAGACATCGATCTCAGCTATCA